GGTTTGGTATTTGATGTAATACCATGTTATATTTTGCTTTTAAAAATTGCACTGTGTGAAATTAACAGGGCATGTATTACAGGAATGTAGAAGTTGGCTTACTGATAGATCTCTCAGTGCAGTGGTTAATAGAGGCAATGAGTGGGACCACTTCTTGGAAAGCCTCCAGGGAACTGGTGGTTACGTATATAAAATCATGCCTTAGATTGCTGGCCCGCTTCCATCTGAAGCCCCTCTCTGCAAACTGGCCATGTAGTTAATACTGGGAAGGTCAGGTTACTCTTTTTAGTGTGATCTGAATGACATGTTTAAAAGTTGTACTTCTGAAATTTGTTTTAATACAGCTGAATGTGAGACAGTCTCACGGGAGTCAGAACGCAGATTGTATCTGTAAAATTGGAAAAGGACTTGAAAGTCAATTAGTTAATTACCTTAGTATGCCTTTTTGTGGCAAAAAGACAAATGTAGGCTTGGTTGCCTAAAAAAAGGGAAAGTGAAACATAAGTAATAAAAAGTGGACTTCCAACACTGATAAGAGTGTTATTAAAATAGTATATCCCATGCTGGTGTCTTCACTTCATGAAGGATGTGGAATTACGGGGAAGAATTTAAAAGAAAGGACAGAGGAGTTGTACAAGGTTCAGAAGCAGGGTATCCAAACACGGTTTCGTTGCCATGTGGGGGTAGTGCTGTGTGAGAAGGATATCTAAAAATGAAGGCAGGCGTGAGATTCACTTCCTTAGCATTAGAAATGCTTTAATTGAGATAATTTGTTGGGGATGAGGAAGCCTCGTTTGAGCTCTCTTGGGGAAGGACAGGTTTATTTTTAAACCATATTTCAATCCAGCTTCTGGAGATGTAGCTTTCCTGATGCAAGTGTGCATGCTTGTGGTGGCCACTCTGGCCTTGGGAAGCACGAAGCCTCCTTCATGTGCTGCAAATTACCCACTTCCTTTGCAGCTATGGCCTTTTATTTTTGCTTTTATTACCCGGAACATCATTATGATATATGCAATTCTGTGTTGGTATTTGAAGCCTTGAAACCCTGGAGTCCTGTGTTTGCCCACAGGCGTCAGAGAGGTGGGGAAGTGTGGGGGTTGACTTTTGGTTTGGTTTTTTTCCCTTTAGATAGTTTGCTAGTTGTGTTTTGTCACCGTTTTCACTTCGTTCTGAAGCATCAAAGATTGGGCAGGGTCTGAGGTGAAGTTAGAAGACTCTCTTTTGTGCCAGACTGGTTGATTCTTACGTGATCAAGGTAAAGTTAGTTGAAGAGCTTGAGATAGGAAAGAAACTCTTTCACTGGGAACTGTTAGGTGTGTTTCTGTCTTCTGCTGCATAAGGCTTTTTTTGACTTTCTCGAGTTATTAGAGCAGCCTTTTTTGTAATCAGTTGTCTGCTGTTGCAGGAGTCTTGGATGCTCAATCTCATCTTGTTTCAAATTGTGACCTTCAGGAAAAATTGTTTCATTTTTGAAATTTCAACTTGATACGAAAGTATACGGGGAAGCACAGTGGTTTATGGTACAGTGAAAGGCAGACTGAAGTGTTCAGCTAGCCTCTCGGGCTTAAAATTCTTCAAAATATTTACTGCATGTCTGTGTTAACCTGATCGCTGCTTGCTGTACCAAACTGCTAACCCAGGTAAAAGCCCTGATTCTCAAGTCCCTTCTGTACAGGCAGACATGTATGTGCCTGAGGAGGTGGCTTAATGGCTTTAGTGGGACATCTGTATTTTTGAAAGAAATAACAAAATTTCACCTTAGTGTGGATAGTTCAAATTGGTATAGTTTGAGTGCATTAGTATCTCTTAATGAAACCAAATATAGTTCTCTTCAATTCCATTCATTCTGGACCTTATCTCTCTTTCTGATATGTCTCACTAGTTGCCAAGCAACCTCAACAGGTTCTGCACATCCAGCAGCATTTAAAAAAAAAAAAAGGTAGTCAGTAGTTGTTGCTGAAAATACGATGCCTTCTGATGACATGAATGAAAAGAGTTACGAGAGAAGGAAATGGGGAGTGGCAAGCTTGGAGCTGATGCTCCAAAAAAACTAATAATATTTGGCACTTAAGTAGTGCTTTTTATTTTCCAAGCACTAATCAAGCATGTGTAAGGTTATTAAATAATGACTGGGGTTTTTTTCCTTTTCGTGAGTGAAGCACAATTATGTTTACGCTTCATAAAGCAGAGGGCAGGATTTAGTCCCAAGAGGGCAGGAGTTAGTTTAGTGTATGTATTTCTTTCTCTGACCTGTATTGACTTCCTGTGTTTCTAGTTGGACTGCAGATTAACTGGAAGGTTTTGGAAGATTTTTGTTCGTGTGTTTGCTGATACATAACCATCACTATCTATTCATTTCGCGCTGATGTGCCTGCAGTGTGTTGACTTTCACTAAAATATTTATCACCTGGAAGGCCTTCCAAACTAGAAGTATGATAGATTGTGTGTAGGTCCTTTATTACTTGATAATGCTGTAATGCGTATAAAGCAATAAATAGAGCTTATTTTTATATTCTGTCTCCTGTGCAAAATGTGATCTGAGCAGCAAACAACGTACCAGAGCAAAGGATATCATATATCATAATGAAAATGAAGTCTGATTTGAGAAGCTGATTCTGGTTTTAGATTGTTCAGTTTTTATGATAGCTTCAGTTCAAAAAGAAAACTATATAGTACATGTAGACTGACTAAAGCAAAATTATAAAGGATACAGGTAAGTTAGTATGTGAATTAAGATTGCCTTAATTTGAGTTCATTTTCATTTAGAACACCATTGCCAATGACTGCCTATATGAAAAGGTAATTTTAAATTCTGTAATTAACTCCTAAAAAGCAGTAAGTAATTCTGATGCTTTTATTCTGATGCTTTTTTTTTTTTTTTTTTTTAAAGCAGGTTCTGATACTGTGAACACTCACTTTCCCTCAGTCACAGTCTGTCTGGAATTACCAAGTTGTGTGCTATTAAGCTATCGGTGAATTAAGCTATCCCACAAGTTTTGGTTTGGAGGACTGTTGGTCCCAGTCACAATTTAATGTTTTCCTTCCCACTCATTTTTTCTGAAGGTGGTGGTCTTAGAAATGTGCTTATTCCACTTCTGGGTGAGAGTAGTAAAAAAGGGATGTGCTGCAAATGTGTCAGAAATGGGGATATGTCAAGTCCCTGGTTCAATTTATACATGAACTAGGATGTGTTCTGAATTCCACGTTTGGTGTCCGTGGAAGGCACATACACGTGTCAGACATGCTTCAGACATAGCGAGACCTTTATACGCGCGGTGTTTTGTGCTAAGTCTTTGTTTACACACTGCATGTCCACATAGGTGTTTTTGTCAAGAGGCTTCCATTTTGCCATTGTCCAGGATAAAATGCACAAGAAGAAACAGTATAATATAGGAGACGTTTTCTGTGTGACACACAGAAAAATAAACACAAAAAATGAACACTCAGTGTGCAAATTCACAGCTTATCGTTGCAAGGCGACTTCCTGCTGTCCTGCTTCCGCAGGAGTGTGAGATGTTTTAAAGGTAGTATGATACTTTAAGCTGTTAGTAAGAGAACATATACATTTTGAATTACAGTCTGTATGTGCATTGTCTGCATCGCAGACCCAAAGGAGTGCATGCCTGAGAAGAGCTGGTTTTTGCCGTGTGTGTGAGAGGGGTGGTACATAGTTCACCAACTGCAGTTGCAGTGAGTTTGAGTCAGCTGGTGGTAGGTTACTTGTTGCTTTTAATGGGAGGACTAAAACCAATACTGGATAATTCTAGGTTTAAGAATAAATTGAATTAATGAAGGCATACAAAAAACTACACTTGGAAATGGTTAAAACATAATGAAAAAACATCCTGGTGTTATGTAATATTTTTACTACATTCAGCATCTAAGGTTTATTTGTGTTGGACGACAATTTCTTTTGGCATACTGCAGCTAATAGAGGTAATTTAGAGATAGAAGAGTATTCTGTGCGTGTATCTGTGTGTGTGATGTATATACAAAAACTGTTTGTAGTGGGGGTATTTTTATCCTCATCTTCTAAGAGAAAAAGACCAGTCCTAGTTCACGCTTTTTTGTAATGCATAAAATGCGTGGATTTTGGCAGTTGTCTTTTGCCTCTAGGCTTGTAAGTAGGTTTGTCCATGCAAGATGTGAGTAATTACTATATATGTGTGATGTGTTAGCTGTTGCACCAGTATTGCCATGTAAACTTAATTGCCCTTTTTTATATACATGTATTGTCCGTATACCTAGTTTTAAAAGGGTAAATATTATAAACTGGTTGCTCAAGAGCAGTATGCTATGAAAAAAGTAATAAGCACATCAGTAAAAGTGTTGGAGGTAGTAATAAAAATGCACTATAATCCTTCTACCAATTTATTGAACTCTAACGATTGTTATCTGTGACAATTAACTGCTACATATTGTATGTTAACCCTTCGTATAGTAGTTGTATATAGAATGGTACTCAATATGACTGCAGTGCCTTAGACTTCAGGTTTTCAAGCAAATGTGTCATCTAATTTGATAGGATTCACAGTTTGCCTGTTGCTTTTCTCTTTTTGTCTATCTTTTGTTTCAACAAAAAAGGACACCCAGTTACTTTGTGGAAAACATATTTTTCACAAAAACAAATGTCCTTTTTGCGAGATTAAAGTATGACTTATTTCAGAATTTTCTTTAAGAGGCTTCATTTGAAGGTATTATAAAAGTGATTACAGTGGAATTGTGTCTGCATGTCACTGGACTTCTGAATTCTCTGTTAATTCCAATGAATTAAGATTTGGTGGAAGGCAGCTGGCAGGACCCCTTGCAGTCGGTGCGTGTCAAAGGGCTTGGCAGATGCGATGCATCATCTGCCATCATGGACTTGCCGTCGCTGCTGGAAGAACGGGTTAAATCCCCACTCAGAAACTGCCTGTTTTGAGACCTCGCCACAGCCTGTTTAAGGACTCAACAGCCAGATTGATGTGTTGTAGAGGTTAGTTGGGTGTGAGTACAGTCAGAGGTGGGGGTCTGGGCCCACCTCTCGTCTGCAGCAGCGGTGCCTGAGCTGATGCAGGAGCAGCCATGAAGGGCCGCGGGTACCCGCCAGCAGCCTGCCGTTCGGCCCTGCCTTAGCTCGTGGGGTGAAGGATTCGATGTGCCTGTGGATGCCTGCTGAAGCAGTCATCACCGAATTGTGACACGGGACTCCTGTGCGATGCTGGGTGTTGAGGGGTGGTTTTGATTCCTAGAGCAATTTGCATGTGCTTAGTGTTCACTAAAAGCTGGGTTGTGTAAGCTCAGGAGCGCGGCTGTCAGTATTTTGGAAAGTTGTATCACAGATGTATGATACTAAGTGAGGTGAAATGATAAAGGATTGCTTCTCATTAAATACAAGGAGTCCCTCTTAGCCTAAGGCTTACATTTTCTAAATTCAGTCTTCCAGAAGGTGATTATTTATATTTAAAAATGTCCTAATGCGTCCTCAGACACTCAAGGAGTTGGAAGTTGAGACTACAGCTTTTTGAATTCAGTTTTTTGTTGCCTTGGCACAGAGGTGGAGTAGCCAGTGTCCCTTAATTCCGAGAAGATCTTTAAAATGGCAGGCAATTACGTTTGAAGTTTGGATCTCATGATGTCAATACAGATATGTAGTAAAATATTCCAGGGTGTGGTGATACTTAATCATTAATGACTGAGACTTGGGGCATTTCCTGAATATTAATGCTGGATATGAATGTTGATTGCACAAGGTGAAATGATTACCCAGTTACTTATTTTCTCCCCCCCTCCTTTTTTATTGATGGCTAATGCAGAAATGATAAGTGCGTAGTTAGGTCAGACAGATACTTGAAGTATTCTCTGAGGCACGGTGCTTGAGACGGAACGCTTTCACTACCTTCGTACCTTGCAGATTGCATAATTACCATGTAATGTGAAAATGGTTACTTTAATTTTTTTCCCTGTAGTGATTTAATATGTAGTTACACAACTTGGACTGTAAGTTGTCCACTGGGATTTTTTCCCTCAGAATCACTTGGTAAAATTCAGCATTGTCATAGGCTTCGGGTTTCAAATGATTAGGCTGATAGAGAATTTGTTCTAATTGTGTAAGTGTAACTGCCACTAAAGGTGAACTGATACGATGCCACACCTTGGATGTACTTTAATACTTAATCTACCCCTTAGGAAACATTAAGGATTGACTCGCTAATGTCAGTACAGTGCTTTATAAAAAACCTACTCATAAAAATGTTTATGACTAGGTTTACATGATTTACATTTTTAGAGAAATGTAGCTTTTCTCTGCCAACACCAACTATTAATAACCTACTAAAATACATGACTTAAGCATTTCATAAATGTATTTGGAACACGCAGCCTATGCAGTTGGTTGTGTTGTGTTCTATAGGAGGTCTAAACTCCTGAAAAGTCTTGCTTAATTCCTGCACGAAAGTACGTGAGGAGATGCCAGTGAATATCATTATGCTGTAGGTAGATCTGTGATATTATCTGATTTCCAGGTAGTACATTCATAGGGCATTTCTGCATATTGTTTGCACGTGTTGAAATTACGCTCTTGTAGCTTGTGGGAATAAACTTGGTTTCTCTTTCTGTTAAACTTTTCGTGGAGAAAGAGATTTTGTAATTCTGTATGTTAAACGTTTCGGAGGAAAACCTTGTCTTTTCTTGCTGTATGTTAATGATTAGTAAAGCAAGGTACATCCTTCCCTTTCTCCTCCCGGTAGCTGGGAACGTATCTGGAAGGAGCACAGTCTGCCAGGGCCAGGAGCGCAGCAGGAGCCACAGCGCTGGTCCTCGCGCCTCTCGGTGGGAGCCACGGCCCGCTGAGCGCGTGTTGGCAGGGTGGCTCCTGCTGACCCAGCCTTCCCCCCGGCACACGGCTTTCCCAGGGCACCCCGCCTCTCCTAAGCTGTCTCCCCCCACTGCATTTCAGCAACTTTCTAACAGTTTACTTCCCCCAGGTACAATTTGTCCCGTTCTTAAAACAGAACTAGGGAGGAACAAAAAAGTTTGAGAACTGCTGTTTCAGAAAGTTGACAAACAGAGTGAGAACTGTGGCTGCAGATGACAGGGTGAAAGAGCCGAGCTGGGTGAAAGAGCCGAGCTGGGTGAAAGAGCCGAGCTGGGTGAAAGAGCCGAGCTGGTGAGCCGTGCTGGTGAGCCGTGCCGCGCTGGTGCGGCAGCTGAGTTAACAGCAGTGCCCTTGACAAGGCTGGTGACATTCAGTAAAGTGCTGTTGGACCGCTCTGAATGGTCAGGTATAAGTACAAGCCAGAGACAAATGTTTTAGCTTTTTACTGAGGCAGGCTGTTCTAATGTTTTAAAAATTATTATTATTACTGTTATTTTTAAGGGGGGAGGGAGAGAGGAGACATGCTTTATTTTGTCTCTTGTTCTTTCTCTCTCTTCCTCTCCCTTTCCACCCCACCTTGTGGTTTACCCCTTGGCTGAGAAGCAGCTTCTCTTATTTAAACGAAGCAATGTTTCGTGTAGTCTGTTTTGCATATCCGATACATAATATATTTTAGAATTTTACGGATACTGATGAGTCGCCAAGTTATTTTGAATTTTTTTAATGAAATTTGTGGTACTAAGCACACATTTTCTGTAACATAGTGGCATCTTGGTCTGCTGAAATTTCTAGGAAGAGAATTTCTAAGAATCCATGCCATGCTGGGTTAGGCCAATGGTTTGTGTAGTCCAGTATCATGTATCAGAAATGGCATTTGTGGAGGATTAGGGAAAAAGTGTAAGAGAAAGATTCACAGTGATTCCTCTTCAGGTCTCTTGCCAGGTTCTGCCACTGGCACTTTAGGAACTCCAAGAAGTGAGATTCATAACAAGTTTCGAAGTTGTCATATTCAGTATGTTTTTCTGTTTCTTCAAAAAGACTAATACTTGAATAATCTAAAAAGTCCTCTTTTTCCTTTGAAGTTTCTCATTTTCCTTTTTTCATTTTTATTGTCCACGAATAGAATGCAAATCTTGCAAATTAGTTGTGCTGCCTGGTGAATAACCTCCGCATTAGCTGGGCTGCCTCTCAGGTCAGTGAGATTCAGATAGAGCCAAGGTATCTCCAGCTTCTCGGTGCTTTTGATATGGCTTTGTTGCGGCCACGGTACCAGCTGGTTGGATCACTAATTGTGCCCAAGCAATACTGTTTAAGTAATCTGCAGTCTTGTAACTTACAGCAATATACACACTCTCTTGAGATTATTTTCTTCAGCTGTGTATAAGTTTCTCATTTAAACAATACTCTTAATATTTAAAGGACCATATGTTGTGAAAGTAATTGGACAATTATAGCAGTGTGCTGTATATTCTGATGTGCTAAGTATCAGCAAATTGTTTCTCACGTAACTTTTGGCCTAACATTCTCAATTATTATATGTTGATATGAACTGTACGGTTTACTTTTCTGTTACCATTTAGAAATGTCAGGTCAGGGCCAGGACATGATAATTGTGCCATTGTCATAGTTTGTCTTCAATTACAGCAGTATAACTTCCCTTTTATCAGGGGAAATGATAATAAATGTGCTTATTCAGGTATAATTAATTTCCAATTTTAAGTTCAGTAAAAGGTCATTCTTCTTACTCGTTGAGTCCAAATATATGTAGATGTTGAGTACAGTAAAGTGAAAGTTTCTTCACTGCATCCATTGTGACTTCCAGACTTCTCAATAAGAGCTGTTTGGAATTTTTCCATTTAATTTGTGTTGTAATGCAGAAGGCGCTAATTCGGATCCAGAATGTTTGTCCAAACATCAATGAACCTTGTGGTTCTAAATGGCACCTTCCTCCTTAAATGAACCCTCCTGGTACTAAAGGTGGGGTTCCCTGAAAGTCCAGGATCATGGTAGATTGTGGCCTGTGGGGAATGTTCTTCACTTCCAGAAAGCGTTTCCTAAGCAGATTTAAAAACAAACAAACAAACAAAAAAAACCCCCAAAGCCCAAAAAACCAACCACATACTTTTTTGTGGTTTACCTGAAATGTTTGGGGGTTTAATATTGATATTTTAAATGGGAAAGACTTTCATTTTGGTGATGTTTGTTTTCAACAACCTATTTGTTAACCTGAGCAGTTGTTCAAGTCTTCTCTCTTATACCTCGTATGTTCAGGCTTAGGTTTGCACCAGTGGGAACTAAATAGGCAGTGAATCAGGTTATAGATGCTCTGTGTCTGCTTGTGCTCAGCCCCAATATGAGGAACTCCACAAGCAGTGAAGACTCAGCCTCTTGGTGTTTGTTGGGAAGTAATCTGCTTAAGAGGAAACCCGTGTAAATACTACTCTGCCAATTTAAAAAAAAAAAAAAAAGTTGGGAAGTACTGTCTTGTAGGATTGAACTGCCTGGCACAGAAGCAGATTATGTCAGGCACGTGAGAAGAGAAGCTGAGAAGAGGGGGGTTTGCATCTGCCCATCTGTTCGGGGCTGACTTAGGAGGAGTTCCGGAGTCGGTCCTAACTGTATGCCTAAACCCCATAGCTGCGTACTTAAGCTTTTGTAACTAAAAATAGCTTGCTGTGACACGGTTAAGGAACTGTGAAGTTGAGTTGTGAAAGTATTCTTCTCTTACTTTGCAGTTTAAGTGAATGGGCATAGTGGGAAGCAGAATACTTAGGTAAGGGAACTATGTATTGTGTCTTCAGGTGCATTTCTACAGCTCCTCTGTGCTGAAGGAGGATGGTTTTTTTTCCTATTTTGTTAAATGTATGGGATTTGTTTACTAAAACATTTCATCAGTTAACTTGTAGTAGAGTTTTATGTAGATTGACTTAATCCAGAGCAAAATTATTTCAGAAGTAGCAGCACAGAAACTTGTGCTTCTTTCAATAAATTGACTCCAGCTTTTCTGTAAGTAGAGCCCCAGATGGCTAGAAATAAAATACGTATTTTTGATGTCTTTTAGCTGACACTGTCTTCTAAAGTCAGGCCAGCAAGAAGAACGGGTAGGTGGAACCTGTTGCCTGAAACAGTACTTCCTGACGCTGGCTGAAGAA